ATAACTCAAAGTCCTGGCTTTCTCTATAAAATACATATATCAAGATATTCTGGTATCTGCTTATCCATTTCAAGCCTCCCATTCCACCCACCCCACCTTCCACGATGCTTCAAAATGTTCCTTTTGTCAACAGAATAGTTCCAGAGCTCCGTTAGCTGTGAGCTATTTGTGTCCTACACTTCATGTTTTAATAGAGAACTGAGTAGTGTGGAGTTTTTTGTTTACATAACATCTTCCCTGCCTGTGAACGGTGACCGACGGCGCGTGTTTTTCCACAGAGGCTGGAAGGTTCTTGGCAGAGCAGAAGAATGAGGTGGCCCTGGCTTTGTTCAGGCCTTTTTGGGTTGAGAAGATGTGGGTGGGCTGGATTGGCGTCAAATCCGAACATGGGTTTGAGCATGTGGGATGAGATAACTGGGGAATCAGGTTATTAAAGGTGAGTGTATTCAAAGAACAAGAGACCTGGTTATCTGAAGCACATCCACAACCACAAACACGCAAACACATCACAATTTCCAGCAGCTCACCATACAGTCTTTACACCATCGTATTTCTGCAACATTACAGCAACATTTGTTTAATCTTAAGGAACATTATGTACTTATTATATGCCATTAGGCGTTCATTATATGCTATTTATTATGACCAAAGATAATTTCGGGAAACAAGTGTTTAGACAATGGCTCTCCATTTACGAAAATCTTGCGGAACCAGTTTTATAAACCAATATATAACAGATTCTGTGCAAACTGCTCACGACATCGCCCCCCCCCCCAACCCTACACCACAATTTTCCTTTCATGACACCCAGAAAAGTGATTGGTAGCCTTTGTTGGTGGAGGGGCTTGAACTCTCCATCAGATTCCCATCCTACATAACCTGCTAGGAAGCTTCAAACGAGTGAAATTATTACTTTATGAGGAATAGTTCAGGGCAAAATAAAAAAAAAAACAGAAAAGAAAGTACTTGTGATATGGAAGGCTGTTTATTGAGGAAGTGTATGCTGACCCAAAGTGATTCAGAAAAACACAGGGCCGGCACGCGAGATGGAACACACAGGAACAAGGGTCACAGTCATTCCGTCACGACGTTCTCAGAGCCCACATTCCTCAAGAGGACCAAATACATGCTTGAAAACTGGCTGTCCTCGTGTGTCATGCACACTGCCTTCTGCTCATGAGCCCACACATTTAAAAAAAAAAACGACACTCCACTTGACAGAGTGCTCCAACAAGGAAGCGGCAACTCGTGCGGCTTTTTTTAAGAGTGAGAAGCTTCTCACAGACGTTTTTAGTAAACACAGGAACTGACATAACCAAAAAGCACAACTTCTGAGTCACATTTTCCTTTCCTGCGCTGACTCACCTGTTTCTATCCTTACCCGGGAGAGTCAAAGAAATCCATTTACTCATAAAACAAGTTTGCCTCCTGACGGCCGACGTAATTCTGGGATAGCAGACGTTGATAAAAACAATTAGCTGCGTTACAGAATAAAGGTCGTTTCCTGGCAAGCGCACTGTGAGTCCCGGCTTGCTTAGACATTTGTCACTGGCTTTCACTCTTCGAAAACTCCAGAGTTAGAAACAGAGACAACATCATCGCTGTGGCCTGTTCAGTTACGTCGAGCCATCAGTGGAATTCCTTTTTAATCTAATTTTTGAGTGGCATTCCCTTTTAATAGCGAAACACAATAGCCCAATATAGAAGGGCTTAAAAAAATAGCTTTGCAGATCTGACCAACACTCTGCTATCACTGTAATGACATTTTAAGCGACCCCTCTGGTCAAAGTCAAAGTCCTTACCCCCTTCAGTGCTCACTTCCCATGACCTTGCATGCATTCGCAGTAGGAATCGCAGTCAGAAGCCACTAACCCCACACTGCTCTCTCACACAATTACTGATTCGGAGAATGACAGGTGCATTGGACTAGCTTATATACAGTATGCATCAATCACCTTTACTGGGGTCTGCACTCGTGCTCGGCATGGCTTATACTGACAGCTGTCCAGAGGGTTTGAGTCTGTCTTTGCACGGGAGGCCCTAGTAACAGGTTCTGAGGATTGAAAACCTTGTTTTTTTTTTGTTTTTTTTTTTAAGTAAAACACGGGGGACAAAGAGAAGATGAATGACTACTGCTGTGAGGCACAGGCAGTTACTGTGAGCGAACAACACCCGGCTGTACTGTACTGACTTCCATACTGGTCTGAAATCTAATATAGGAACTGGCCTACAGACAGGAAAAAGAAGATGGGCAGGAAAGTTAATGCACGTGTCTTTTTACTGCCGGTCATACATCTGGCATTCTCAGATTTTCCATTTTGATGAGATGCTGCTTCCAACAGTTTGACACTCAATGGACAGGAAAGGCACATACCAACACACACACACAAACACACACACACACACACATCTGTACTCATATCTTTCTGTGGAATATCATTTCTATGGGCAAAACCCTAATCCCAATAATGACACCCCTACCCAGCACTAACCTTAACCATAAGTAACCGAACAAAATACAATTCTTTTGGCATTTTTATTTTTTTTAATTTTTTTATTACAGTCACAAATTTTTATAAAATTGAATTTTTCTTTGTGGGGACAGAAAAAATGGTTCCCACAATGTCAAAATAACAGGTTATCACACTGAGAGGGACACTGGGTCCCCACAATGTAATGCATATCTGATCCCCCACACGCACACACACAGCAAAGCCTTGCATTGTTCTAACCTGCTGAACAAAACCCAATAAGCTCATGCCAAATAAGCTCATTGTACTATAAAGAACAAACACTTCTAGCTTTGAGATGAATGTGACTGGAACGTTCCTCTCTTACGTACAGAGCAGAGGAACAATGAGGCCTTTAAATATCGACATCTGTGAAAAGATACTTAAAGTGCCTGTTTACTTTAAATTACATTACACTATGTTTGCTGCATTATATTTACCGTTTCCTGTCACATTTACACCGTCGGCCACAGCTCATGGTCCCTGAAACTCCCCTTCCACACCGGCGTGACGTGTGATTGAACATGATGAAGTGTGAAATCAACATCGTCTCTGAGGATGGAGAGTGAGCCAAGCGAGGGGGAAACAGCTTGTCAGCCATCGCTGGCCTGCACACACACCCCCCAACTGTGCCAATTGAGAGGAAAAATATATATATGTGTGTTTTTGTGTGTGTGTGCGTTTGCCTTGGTTAAAATAAGCCTGACAGTGATATATTGCAACCACTCAAGACTGAACTAAAATTGTAACTGCCTCATGATTCTGCTTCTGCAACTTCAGTTGTCTTGGAGTGGAAAAAGAAAAGGACACAATGTTTTTTTTAATCTGTTTATTTGTTGTGAAAAATCAAGAGTCATTGACTTATCTTCTACAATGGGCTGGCAGCTCCACTGTTCCTCCCACACACACCCCCCAAAACACACACCCCCCAAAACACACACCCCGGACTCCCTCCTTCCTACTTCACCTACTACACACACCCCCAAGAATCCCCTTTTCCTTCTTCACCTCCTACACACACTCCAGAACCACTCCTTCTCTCTTTACCTCCTACACACACCCCAGAATCCCCCTTTCCTTCTTCACCTCCTACACTCCCCAGAATCCCTCTTTCCCTCTTCACCTCCTACACACTCCCCAGAATCCCTCTTTCCCTCTTCACCTCCTACACCCACCCTAGAATCCCCCTTTTCATATTCACCTCCTACACATACCCCCCAGAATCCCCCTTTCCCTCTTCACCTCCTACACACCCCAGAATCCCCCTTTCCCTCTTCACCTCCTACACACCCCAGAATCCCCCTTTCCCTCACCTCCTACACACACCGCAGAATCTCTCTTCACCTTCTACACACCCCAGAATCCCCCTTTTCCCTCTTCACCTCCTACAGACACACCATAGAATCCCTTTCCATCTTCATCTCCTACACACACCCCAGAATCTCTCTCCCTCTTCCCACCCAAACACCAGAATACCCCTTTCCCTCTACACCTACACCCACCCTAGAATCCCCCTTTTCATATTCACCTCCTACACATACCCCCCAGAATCCCCCTTTCCCTCTTTAACTCCTACACACCATAGCATCCTTTCCTTTCCATTTTGACCTCCTGGACATACCTCAGAATCCATCCTTCCCTCTTCACCTCCTCACACAGCCAGAATCCCTCCTTCCCTCTTCACCTCCTACACACACCCCAGAGTCCCCCTTTTACTTCCTATACATGTCAAAGACCCCCCCCCCAAACCTTTTGCCTAATAAAACAAGATGCTCTTCATTTGTGTGCTTCTAATCCGCTGCTTAAAACGAAACTGAACTGATCCAAATGAGATAACCTGATCTGATACTGAACGCATTACCTTTCACCTTGTTAATCTGTGCAGCAAGTGTGGCATATTTGCTTGCGTATGTGTGCGTGTATGCGCGCGTATGTGCAAATGCGTTTGTGTGTGTACGCGAGTTGTGTGCACGTATGTATGCGAGCACGTGTGCGCGCTCAGTGGGTAATTCTGGGAGGGGGGGTGGGGGCTGGCTTAACTTAGCATTCATGGAAAGTGCGCTAACGGGTTGCTTGATAACAGCTGTCTCTCCACACAGTTCAGCTGATTGGTATTTTCCATTCGCACTAGAACAGGCTGTGAGACAAAGGGGGGGGGGGGAGCAAGTGAGAAACAGAGATTAATGGGACAGAAGACAGGGTTATGTCATTTTTTTCCAGTGGTCTTTCTGCTCCTGTTCCTCAATTTTTATTTTTACACCACGACTTTCTTATCTCTCTCTGCCTCCCCCCCCCCACCTCTCCCTCTCTCCCTGACTCTCTCCCTGTTTCATTCTTTTTCTCTCCCTCTCTCTCTCTCCCTCTCTCATTCACATTGGGTGACTGCACGTTAGTCAGCAGGGGAGGGACTTTCTCCTGCTGCAGTAAGTAGTCCCCACCCCTAGGGGCGGAGCCCTGCAGTCCTGGTGTTAAAAGTGGAGGGGGGGGCGGGGCCATCACTGGCTCTCCTATAAGAGGCAGACAGCTGAGACCTGGCGAGTGTGAATCTGAGACACCCAGTCACCTGTCAGTATTGTAAGGACACCTTCTGGAAGGTTCAGTACGAAGACGTTTGCTGCATTTCCTCTGCACCGTTCGGCACTGACAGAGGGGAGGGGAACACACTCAGAAGAGCCTGGACTGCAGAGTGAATATCTGGGAAACAGCTGCATCTACTGTTTTTTTTTTTTTTTCATTTCTCTCCAGCTCTGGGCTTTGTAGAACACTGAGTTCTTTCTCAGGGCATTAGGCATTATCTCAGGCATTTTCCATCATTCTTACGATCGCCCAGCTCGCTCTCCACCCTACAACTGCAAACCATACCTGCAAAGGAGGTAAAAGGACAACAAAAAGATCTGTTTGGTGTGAATCAGCCTCACTGATTGGACGGAGTGAGACAGACGGATCCTTTTTGCTGACACAGCCTTCTAAGAACTTTTGACCCTACGTCCCACATCAGAGCTCCAATTATGCACCTGAAAACCACAAAGCAGGATAACCTCTGCCTGGTCGTCTCCCTAGAGGACCAGGAGGTGTTCAGCAGGCCTGAGGTCCAGGTAAGATACGTTTGACCCATTCTGCTGCATCCCAATCCGATCTGTGATAAGCGTTTCCATGGTTTCCTCGCTATGAGCTCTTGGCGAGGCTTATTTTCTTTGGGAGAGGTCCTCTTATGTGCCAGTTTGATTGATACAATGCAGTGAAAACCTGAAGCGCGTTCTGGAATTAAGAATAGATATTCCCATAATAGGGAGCATTGTTTCTTAAGGCAAATAAGCTCAGTGGAGATTTCTTCCGCCCTTGAGGCCAGAGTACAATAAAAGACAGACAAAATGTTATTATTAAACACGGGTGCTGTATGTCGCACCCTGAGAAGAGATCACCATCGACAGAAATGGTTCAGTCTGTGTGATGCCAGTGTGTTCACCTTGATGGTGCCCCTACTGTTGAGATCAGTCTGGTTATACCATTGCCCACAATCCTGTGGCGAGCCGGGGGGGGGGGAGGGGTTCAGCAGCTACCTCAATAAGGGGCACCTCTGCACATATGTGTACCTGCCAGATGGCTTATCTGTCTGTTCATCATAAATGTACATACGATGTCATTAGTGGCTAAGAAGTCTGGGAGGTAAACAATCCAGTTAACTGTGTTTTGTGGTTTTAGGCCAGGAGTTTAATTACCATAATAACATAACAATAACAGAAATATTACAGAGACTCTAGGTGTTGAATGTAAATACAAATTACACAGACTGGCTATGGTCAGGGCTCAGGGCTAATTTTATCTTTCTTGTCAAAACTTGTTGTTGCTTCTGGTGTCTAGTAATGACTCTTAAGTCTGGTCCAGCATAAAGGTAAAAACATTTGAACCATCTTGTTGTTTTGAATGAAATTAACCTTTTAAGTCCCTCGCCCACCCTTACTTAAGGGTATTTTTTTAAAACTTGACAAAACTAAGTGAAATGCTGAATCGGATGGTGGCAGCAGCCACACGAATGAAGAGCAGATGTTTGTGGCTGTGTGTCATGGCCGGTTTTCTCCACGCCCAGGCAAAGTTCGAGGAGCTGTTCCGCTCCTTCGATGGTGGGGTCACGTTCCAGTTCTTCAAGAGCTTCCGGCACGTCCGCGTTGCCTTCAGCGATGCACTGGCCGCCGCTGAGGCCAAAGAGAGGCTCAACAAGAGCGTCTTCAATGGGAAGGAGATGCGCTTGCATTTCGCCCAGGTAGGTTTGGCTCACTCCTACTTCTCATCCTGCCCAGTGCACAAGAGGGCGCTGACTTCCTCACTCCATTGTACTGCCCCACCATTAATTACAGCCCCACTCCACAGAGCTAGCGTATTTTGTTGCCACTGTACTCTACAGGACTACAGTACTTTGCTACTTCTATACTCTATAGGACCAGAGTACTTTGCTGTTACAAATCTCTACAGGACCAGAGTACTACTGGCCTATTGCACATAAAACCGGATAGTCTGTTTCCCCTCATTTCTCAGCACAAGAATCCCCTTTTCCTTCTTCACCTCCTACACACACTCCAGAACCACTCCTTCTCTCTTTACCTCCTACACAGTAACAGGAGAGGGACCCTCCCCAACAGTATGGAAATATTGTTTCACACAGCGGTATTTTAGTGCGCTACCTAAGTAACTTTTCGCAGCTCTCTGAGACATGGCATTTTTCTGCTCTGCCCAGTGATATCATTCTAATAACACCCTGAGAGTAAAAACAGACTATACTAGAATTTACCGGCGTTAAATAACATAAAACCATAACATTAGTGGTTTAATCTGCAGTGAAACAAACACTGACGCCAACTATTGACCTTTTGATTTTGAAGACTGTAAGGAGGTTTACCACTGCCTCTCTGTGTCTCTCCTGCTCGTCCGTAGTCCGTACACATCGGAAGCCCCCGTCTGGAACTCCCAAAGCCTCTGTCATCACTTCCTGGGTGGGAGGAGCCACAGGATGCTACTCCCATCCTCAACTGTGACCTGTTCTGTGACATCTCAAAGACCGATGCAGGTATGTCTGTGGGAGCAGCTACACACACAGCGATGCCTCCAGAGTGGTCAGTTTGGTAGTACAATGCCTTTCTCCTTTTGATTCCATCAGGGGAGGAGTTTGAGCTGCATTCCGGGACCCCCACCACCCCAAGCGTGGTCGTCCACATCTGTGGGGGTGACGAAGCAGAAGGGGGGAGACAATCCCACCCCAAAATCATCGAGACGCGACGTCCCGATTACGTCCCCGCCGTCCTGCACTGAGTGACTGTTCCACGTCAGTCTCCTCCTTTATTGCTAAGGGATTGCAGGTCTTTCAAGGGACATGCAGCCCCCATCCCACCACTAGTGGGAGCCATGTGACAGAGCCCAGCCCCGACAGATACCATTCCTGCCATTGCAATTTCAGTGAGGTTTTAGTCTATAACACTGTCTTTCTGCCCTGGAATCACACAGACCCACGGGGAGAAGACAAATACTGAAAAAATATATATAAATATATACACTACATTTACTTCTTGCATGAGAAATGTGACAAGGATGTAAGGGAATGGATGGGGAAGGGGGGCATTCTGGACTTTTCCGCAGCATCATTAATATGCTCATTCCGTCCTCGCCCTGTAACGGAATGGGAGATCCAGAAAGACTCTTGTTGGCATGTCATGTCAGCCGTATCATGTACAGTGCATAATGTATCCTGACAGAGAATGTGTTTCCGTTATTCTGGCAATGCTGTTTCGGCGACACTTTGTCCTGCTTTAGCCATCACAGGATCAAAGCGACGCACATACCTTCCTGCACTCTTAGCTCTCACACCGCCTCATCCACTTATTTTGAACACTTTAACGGTGCTGTGTTCCAAATCACCGTCAGCTTCGCCTCTTGTGCACTGAATAATGGGGAGCCTGTGGTCGTCCTGCTTATAGCATGTATATTTAGCACTTGTCTCCGTATGAGGAACGTTCCCACGTTTGCACATCCGTTCGTACATGTCTGTTCAGCTCTGATTTACCCCTTTGCATCCCGGTCTTCTGCGATCCTGCCATTTCCACTACAGTATGAAACCCTGCGCTGACTGAAATGCTTTTGCGAAGAGACGCAGCTAAAACAATGCATCCGCGGCCGGGCAACCATCACTAAACACTGTGCATCGTAAAGACTATTTGCATGCTCTGGACTTAAAGCTTCGCAATGCCTGCAAGTGGTTTATGTGGTTCTTCTACAGTGCTGAGCCTGTTACAACATTTGCATCGCCAGGCATCACACTGCAGAGGTGCTGGACAATGTACTTTAACTTGGGTGACTTGCATAAACCTGCATTCATGCTGTTGTATTTCAAGTGCTTTAACAGATGCCCTGCACTTGTTTGTATTTTCAAATGTCTATTAAATGTAACGTTTAGTCTGGAGATTAAAATATGCCAACTTCTCTTGAATAAAAACCAAACATGGAAACTGAACTTGTATATGAAATTTGAGTTGTATATTTGAGAACACTTGCCAGGTTACTAAGAATACCTAGTTATCTCCGTGAAATCGAGCAAGTCAGATTACTGGTAAAGAGTCTTACAGCTCAATACTTAAAAATTCCTGTCAGCCCACATTCACCATCAGACTTATGAATACATCCTCTTGCTGTCACCTTGGGTACATTTCTTGTAAATCAGTGCTGCCTACTGCAGAGCACCTTGGGTAACTAACGTAGGCAACAAGCTACAAGCTAGACCAGGGTTCTTCAAATCTGGCCCTCGATTCCAAATCCAGGCCTTTTTTTCAGTTCTCCCAGGTAGTTAGTTTAATAATTGCTGATTCTTATTGGTCAGAAGCTTCACACCTGACTAACAGGTAAAGGAAGGCTGGAAGACCAGAAGCGCTCGGACCTTGATTTGAATAACCCTAGAGCTATACCAAGGCTCTGGGCCTTTTTAGCTTTCTTACTAGAACTTCTGTACACTAGTGACTTCTCTGAGCACTACTGTGCACCAGTATGGGGGACCAGACCAATCACTCATGACCCACATATCACCGGTAAATACCAAGCATAAAGGTGACGGTTACAACAAGTAACAGTGGAAATGTCTTGGGTAATGGGATCAGTTCTCCTTCAAATACAAATATTAACACATATTTAGACAAATACAACATATCTTAAGTATGGCTCTGAACTTCTATCTCATATCTCAAAGTCACACTGCCCTCTGCTGGCAGAGATTTATTTTTAGCATCAAAGAAAATACCAAAAATCTCACCACTGCAGCTTACGTAAGTAAACAATTGCAGGGATAACAATCTAAGAATTGCTCGTTTGCAGTAAACTCCAAAATAATAAGCGTTATTATGTGATACTGAAATAGTATTGTGTGGCATTGTAACCTAAATTAAGCAGCAGCAATCAATAATTTGGTTCTGCAATGCAGTGAAAACAGTAAAGATGGGGCAGACTCTATAATTCGCTCTTCTCCAAAATATAGATTTCCACGTTCTAAACACATACAATTTATCCCAACACGTATTTTATATCGAATGTTGCTTGGCAAAGCTCCACCAAAACACAGGATAGAGACACAGGAGATCAGGGATAAGTCACCTAAATGGGGAAAAGAAAACCATAACACAAAACATGAATGGTACCCCTTAAAAGAAAATTCAACCACCTTTTACAAACCACCTAAACCGGCCACATGAAAATCCCCGACGACTTATAACACTGGGGCTAAGCCTTCTACTCTATTCCTATCTCCATTCACTCCTGCTTATGCTGCCCAGCTGAGCCTATAAAAATCCTAACTGGCAATTAGTCTCATTCAGGCCAGCTGGCTTTCATGAACTGGGCTACCTGTGAGTACGGAGCTGCTGATCATTCGTAACGGAAAGCCAGCGGCTCGGCCAGACCCAGCGGCCTGCTATGCAGCTCCGCCGTGGCGATCATTAAGCTTTCCACACAGATTCCGCTCATGGTTTCCACATGACAGTAATTACCTTTTCCAGTGACTGTTCACATTAAGCGGAAAAAAACAACGCCGACGGAATTTTGGGAGTGCTGTTTCCGCCGAATTGTGCCTTGCGTATGGGTACCAGATGTGTTTTAAGCAAAGCTTAAAATAGGTTTTCTAATGTGATACACGGTATTATTACATGAATGCATTTGTATATGCTACCTGACCACGTCTTAAACCAACAAGTTAATCTAAAAAAAATAATAATTAAATATGAGCGGGTAGTAGAGTTGGAAAACATGGGTTTCTATTTTGATGGTTCCTAGATCAAGCCGCAAGAAGGCACTTCTTGTATTAAACGAGGGAGATTAACAGGCGGTCCAGTAACTCATCCAGTTATTTAAATGGCTACAACTTCGCCCCAGTTTATTATGTTTATAGCATCCGCTAATGAGGGAGACGGTCTATGCTTATGCAGCCCAATTTGCGTGCACTGTACAGTTTCTCTGACCGTCTTTATCATTCAAACTCTGAACTCTAGTCTCAGGGTAAGAAGCGATTTATGGCAAGGGTTACTGCCGCTAAAATAAGTCCATTTACGTAATCGGTGTGGCTTTCAGAAAACTTTTAAAATTATGGCGTTTACAGTTAATTTAACAATTTTCTAATTAAACATTGTTGGGGAATTTACATCAAAATAAATATTGCAATATTATTGGTAAAAACAGGAAGGATGTATTTCGAGACATTTACAAGAACAAGTAAATGGTTAGAAATTGCAGCAGTAACATTACAGGTTTAGGAGGGTTCCTGAATGATGCAACATGAGCGCAATCTATCAACTCAAGCAGATTTCCCCAGTTTCATGTAAATCTTCCTGCCCGCCCTTGCAGTGCCGCAACCTGAGTCGTGCATTTGCTAAACGCAGTTAAACTAAATGTTACGTTTAAAAGCGCTACCTCTGCACCGCAGTGCCACACACTCGTTACCAATCACAACAGCGTTTCAGAATTATAATCTAAATTCTCCGACATATTAGTATATCATTTTGGATAAACGATATACTAATAAATCATAGACTAAATATACCTACTCTAGATTGGTCAACGGAAAGATATAATATGCATTTTAATTAACTATCGCATATCGCATATTGACTAGTTATTAGGCACATTGTGATTGTTAGGACAACATATCCCAGAATGCAGCGCTATTCACGTGACAATAACACTCAGGACCCCGTGTATGAGACGTCATTGTCATTGCCTGCTAGTAAGCTAGCAAAACAGAACGGGGACGTTTTATTTTCCATTTTTGGAAAAATGAAATGACTTACCGTCGGTTATATTGTTCACTTTTATGAACCAAACAGCTGGCTAGCTAGGTAAATCACTGCCATTACTTTACGAAAAAAACTTACTGACACTAAAATGATAATTTATTTTAATTAACGAAACAAACAGTCAAATGATTAAAGGAGTTTTGCTTTAAACGTACGCTTATTTTTTATCACTTCTTTGGATGTGAATGTGAATTTGGACTCAGAAATATGTATTGTAGCCTGCTCGCTAATGTCACAAGTTCGTCCTTGTTTGTCGGCCGGGAATTGAAATAACTGCAACGCAAGCACGCATTCACCTTTAAAAGCGATACGTGCGGAAATCGATTGTTGTAACAGCGTGAATGCGTACGTATTTTATGTGCATTTGCGCCAATATGACAAGAAATTACCGTGCATTTTAATCTTTATATGCCAATTCGTACGTCATTTGCGGTGTAGAGGTTAAAATGCACGGTGATTTCTTGTCATAGCGGCGCAAATGCACGTATATTTGCGCTGTTACATTAATCGATTGCCGCACGTATCGCTTTTAAAGGTGAATGCGTACTTGCGTACCAGTTATGTCAATCCCTGTTGTCGTCAGACTGCATGGGTGAAATGTGTTCCGGAATGATTTACGGGATTATATACAATAAAAAGGACTAAATAAAAACGGGGCCGAATACTGAGTTGTACAGTTTTGATCAAGTATAATTTAGCATGTAATAGATGATGTTGGAGTTATGGGATGTGGTCAGGATCCACATACCTCCCCTTTACTTTACAGGTGTTGTGGTTGTGATTGAAGATGAGCTGCGCCATACTTATTCTGCGGCTGCACCGTGGCGACCATGTCAGAGCCCTGCGACCCCCCTGCTACCTCTCCCTCTGCCAGCTCAGTCATGCTCACCCTGTGAGGTATAACTTGCGGGAGTGCTACCGTCTTCTGCAGCTGCCCGAGGATGCAGAGGCCAGTCATGCCCAGGTGAAGGATGCCTACCTCCGCATGGCCAAACTGTACCACCCCGACTCTGGGGTGCCCACGGCGGATGCCGCCCTTTTCTCCCAGATCGAGGAGGCCTATCGCACTGCGCTGGCACATATAGCAAGGCGGCAGTCAGCCTGGCAGCAGCTGGAGGCAGAAGAGGAAGAGGAGGATAGACTGAAGACACAGTCGCCCCAGCATAGGCATTACCTCAGCTACGATGGCGTTGGCTTGGGCACACCCAGCCAGCGAGAGCGTCAGTATCGCCAGTTCCGTGCAGATCGGGCCACAGAGCAGGTGCTGGAGTACCGGAGGCGGGAGCTAGAGAGGGTGGCCGCTGCAGATGAGGGTGCCATGGCGGCACAGGACGTACACAGGCGGAGCCGGAAGGTTAAGATCACGCAAGCAGTGGACCGGCTAGTGGAAGACCTCATCCAGGAGTCGATGGCCCAGGGTGACTTCCACAATCTGCCAGGTTCCGGAAAGCCCCTCAACAAGTTCAATGAGAATCCGTATGCCGACCCTATGACACACAACCTCAATCGCATCCTCATCGACAATGGTTACCAGCCGCAGTGGATCGTGGCTCAGAAGGAGATCCGAGAGACGGCGGATAAGCTGCGAGCAGGGCTGCAAGGGACCCGGGCGAAGCTAGGGGACCCCTTGACCCCAGCAGAGGAGCTAAAGTGGAGACAGTGCTGCCAGACTTTCAGTGAGGATCTCGGCAGGCTCAACAAGAAGGTGGATAATTTCAACTTGATAGTGCCTCTGCTCAACAGACAAATGGTCCACTTCAATCTGCAGCGTGAGGTGGACCGGGTCCGAAGGGCTGACCAAGAGGGAAGACTGGAGAGGGAGAGGGAAAAGGAGAGGGAGAGACTGGCAGATGTGGAGAAAAGGAACTCGTCAGAGACGGCTAATCATGGACTGTTCTCTTGGGTGCTAAATCTACTCCGATAACATTTCTGTTCACATGCACTACACATGAACTGAGCTGGAGGTTCACGCAATCTGGACATTTCTGTACTGTAAATCAGTGTTCACTGGGCCATTTCTGAAATCTGATAAATACCGTGATCTTTTTGGGACTCAAGTTCAGCATTCTGTCTGTCCTTAGAAGTATACATCCATTTGCTCTCTATTTGCACATCACATGCAAAGATTGTATTTTAATTATAATGTCTGAACTTCCACTGGCTGTCTCATTTTATGACTGCTAATTAAAAGATCTGACTGCATATTTTATGAGTTTTTGACTGTTGGCCGGTGTAGACCTTGCTGCACCCCCTTTAACCTTCCTGGTAGTTTCCCAGAATCAATCTATCCGGGAATTATTAGTATTGTTCTGAATCCATGTCTTCTGGTGAATTGCGCGTAATGTTACATCTGCAGTAAATCCAAGTATTTTAACTAGTTACCTGCTAGATATTGGTACCAGTCAATATCACAATATCACAATAACAATGGTAAATAAAAAACATTGCATAACAATTCTCCTAGCCTTGCAGTGAATCTCTTGATATTGATTTGGCAAACAAATTATTTGTGCAAACATGTTTTTGACCTTCTCTGTACCCATTGAATCATTAAAATAAAATATTTTTTACACGTCCATTTCAGGGATGTGGTAACTACAAAGTTTTTATTGCATGCTCTACACAGCATGTTTATGTTGTTTACTTTATATTTTCTGGAGGAAATATATAAAATACTAGATATTTCCGCCTAAAAGTCTGTTTGCAGGTGCATATATTTGCATAAATAAAAAAGCAGGAAAACAAAAGAAAAATAGCATTTGGTATTGTACTAATAGATACAGGCATTTTTTGTTTTCCTCTAGAGGGCGACAAACCGCCATGTCCTCTGGATTTCTCTGGAAAGGAGAACGTCAGGTTTGGTTCCCAACCGTGTAGTCTGCTTACTCATTCGTTTACACTTAATGGTTTATTATAAGAAATGAAACATCACACACAAAATCACAACTGACAAATGGGTGCTGTTACATTATTACACAAGTGCCTCATTTAGAACAAGTATTGTTGCGGTGTTACACAAGCCGCATATGCTGCATGTGAAGATAGCAAACACTGCAACTGCAGTAGATTTTGTAGTTGCTTAGCAACCCTCCCCCCCAGCTCCACCACCACTCACTGATTGAATCTGACGTGTTAACGGGTGAAAAAGATACAGGCAGCTTAATCTTAGTGCAGGTGAGATATTGGAGACTCTGGAGCTAATGAACACTTCAGTAAGATTAGAATTTTAAGTTAATAATTGATCTATGCTTTATTATTGGTTGAATGTGCCATATTTCCAATATCATTTATACTATGTATATTGAATGTATAAAAAACATGCATCCAGTATTCATAGCTCTGACATCTATATATGTCAGTATTACGCTCAAGGGAGACATGGTTCTTCCAGGGATTGGGTTCTGCCCAAGTAGCAATGTAGTATAGAAACAGTTTAAAGAGACAAATACCTCAGTATATGTATTATAAATGATACTGCGATATAAAGGTATGACGCAAACCTGAAAGGTTTTATTGGGTGGCAGAGGTGGCAGCTTGTGTCCAGTTAAGCAAAGAGGACAGATAACATGGAATTGTCGTGCAGCATCGCAGTGAGCATTAGCGGACTTGACGGCGTTGTGCTGGCAGGAGTGTGCAGCCAGTCCCTCACGCGTCGATGTCATCGACGCTGTCAGAACGCATCATTCTGTCCCACTTGCTCTCCATTTCCTGGCTCCCCTGCCTAGACATCTGGATTCGCCTGTGTGTGTGTGTGTGTGTGTGTGGTGTGTGTGTGTGTGTGTGATGTGTGTATTCCCGGAAGGGTTACAGATGTGGATTAAGGATGAAGGGATCAGCTCTCCATGTCTATCAGTCTGGAATACTCATACAGGAGAAAACCATTTTGTTGGTGACGGAAATAACCTAAAATTATCAAAATACGTAGCAGCCATAGAAATAAGTGACTGACAACCTTGTCTGCAAGGCACCAAAGTGATTCTTTAGCATTTATTCATTTAGCGGATGCTTTTATCCAAAGCAACATGTAGCTGAGAAGGGACAGACGGTTCCCAGAGCAATTGCAGGTTAAGAGCTTTACTCAGGGGGCCTAATGGTGAAATCACTCCCCTGACCGTGGGATTTAATCCAGCAACCTTCTGATTTCACACACCAGCCCCCTTAAGTGTTTTAAAGCTCATTCCCTTAGGTGGGCCTGCATGCCGATGGACCCAACGCCACTAAGTCTGACTGACGTTGACGGATTTTTCTTGCACCCCTGGGCCCTGGTAGTATACATGTATGGATCTTCATCAGTCGGGTATCTCATTAGGATCCAGGCTGATATTGATAGTCACCTCCTCTGGAAGCGTACAGTCGAGCAGTCATCCATCAGGTGGACCAGGAACAGTGGGAATGTATTTACATAATGACAATAATCAATCACTGAGAGCACATCGCGTTTGGGGGGAGGGCTTCATGAGGTTTCAAGCCTAGTGGTTTTTATTATGGAAAAGCATGATTTAAAAATAAACAGATTCTTGCTCATGAGAAGACATTGCTCATTCTGGAATAAACTATTTAACATTATAGCATATGCAAATGAATGGTACCACAGAATTTCATCTTTTCGGCAAAAAGTTACTGATATCTTGTGGGCTGGCTAGATAAACTCCGCTTTGGTTCCCAAACCTCTCCTTAGGGGCACCTCAGCCATTCCATGTGTTTGATAAATCTCTCCACCAGCTCAATTAATGAATTAAATAATTCAATGGGGTATTGATTAGCCAGACGAGGTGGGGTAGTGGTCGAGTCAAAAAATACATTGGTGTATTGGACGGTTGCCGTAAATGCTGTGGCAATTTTAGGAGATATCTTGAAATGGCTAAGCTGACACACTTTGATAAACATAGTATCATAGTTTTACACCAACATGAAGATCATTTATGCATTATTTTCTGTGACTGCCTAAAATTTTTGCATAGTACTGTATATTGAAATCGTTGCATGTTTAATAAAAAAAATATGACGCATTAGCAAACGTGAAGGCCTACAGAACTATGCAAGCCAGCTTAGCTTGTGAAATCAATGGTATAAAATCAATGTGTAGCATGTTGAAATGCACTTTCCACCCAAATCCATGTCACAGTGCAGAGCACCGCGGAGTGGAAAGTTTCTGAGCGGAATAGCATCTACCTCCGAGTGATGGGCTTTCAAAAAACAAGATTATGCAGCGTGCTCTGAGGAAAACATAGCGAGGACAGTCACACGGCACCCTGAGTGACACACTGTGGATGGAAGACAGTGAGCAAAGGAAGTGAATGTGTGAAATGGCAGAATTCACTGAAGAAGACCTGGACCAGTATCTACAAAATCAGGTAATTATCTCACATACTGGGCGTAACTTCCATCAAAGAATGTACATGTTCAGCTTACCCCAGACTATTATATTCAGGATTTCTGGAAGTTTTTCAAATGATATGCAATTAAGAGACAATTTAATTAAATATTTATATTTGTTATATTTACATTTGACATATTTAGTGGACGCTTTGTCCAATGTGGCATAAAAGTAAGGTAAATAGTACATTGCAAATTTATACCACAGAATTCCTCCAAGGACCATGGCTTATATTCCTGTCCTAACCCTAACGCCTCACACTTTCCACCATTGAGGTGTCTTATGTTGATTGTACTTAATACTTTGATTTTTACAATTTAATTAGAGCGTAATACTGTATTTTACTCTGTGGAGGTCGACCTCAGACACAGACAGGTCTCAAAAACAGTGGAGGAGGTTCAGAAGATCATCAAGGACCTGACGTCTGAGGTCAGCGTCAAGGACGGTCGCTTTCAATCCATCTCCAACTCCGGCGTCCACAGCGACAGCCTCAAAGTGAGGACACACCCAGAAGAGACATCTTTTTTACGTGCCTGTGCATTGGTCTGCCCTTGGGTCGAAGTTAATGATTTTATCCTTCGGTCCATAGGATCAACCTGCTTTACTCGCCAAATGGGCCACATTGCTCAGGGGACGGTGTGCGTTCAATCCAGCTATCCAGGTAACATACAACGCCCAGGAGAGCATACACAACTTCAAATGCAATTCAACTTGAGAAGAACTGAGAGATAAGAGATAAACTTAAGGAGTAAATAGTTTTCCCAGCTTTTACTGCAATTATCCAATAACCTGCTTTCTGAACGGCAGCTGATTGCATGTATCCCCCAGGTCCTAACACCCACCCAGTTCCTCATTTCGGTGCCATTGAGGGGACTGACGGGATACAGGGAACGACGGGCCCGGCGGTGGCGCTACTATTCGCTGAGCGGGTCACGGCGGCAATCTCCAGTCCGTGAGCCGGAGAAGCTGCACCAATGGCTGGAGCTGGACAGCTTCCTGAGCCCCACGCAGGAGTGGCATGATAGCCACGTCGCCATCGAGGGTGACATCGTGCCAGCCAAGGTGGTCAGTGTCTTCAAGGAGCAGGTGGAAGAGGCCGTCAAATCCCGCAGCTTAGCCAGTGAGTCATCCTGAGACACGATTCTCTGAAGTACATGACTTTAAACATGAATGGCAGCGTGGTAGGTCAGCTGATATCCTTGGCGTCTTTGTCCACGTGTGACAGCACCCTTTGGTAGAGTGAACCTTCTCTCATACTACCTGCTTCACTGGATAAACTTCAGTTATGGTTGGCTGATAATGTATAACATTCAGTGCATCTATATACAGTACTAGAAAAAAATTAAGAGGCCACTCTATCTTTTCTAAAAATCTAGATTTTTAAATCCCGATTTAATCCTCGTTTTGCTGGCAGAAGGCTACATTGTGAAGCAGGCCGCTCCCAGGCTCAAAGACAGCAGTACAGAAGAATAAGGTGAAGCAGGAGACACTGGAAATGACCAAAACCCAGCCAGGTAGAGGGCAGAAGCAACTGTATAATGCCAGAGATGACTGTCAACTTATCTCGCAGTACCTCATGATTCGGAGGATGACATCAAGTGACCTTCAAAAAGAATGGGAAGTATTATTGGTGTGAAGTGCACTGCTAGGGCATAACATGCTCCTAGAAGCAGAACTGAAGTCCCATAAAGCAAAGAAGAAGCCCTTCTCCAGTGAGCAACAGGGAAAAGCAAGGCTGGAGTTTGCAAAAAAATGGACATTTTACCCAGGCGCATACCTTTGAATTGAGAAATGAGTGAAATTGAAAATTTTGCTGTGGTCTCTCCATTTTTTTCAGCGCTGTATGTCCTTGTAACATACAAAGTGTCCTTGAGTAAATGCTTGAGTAATACCTTAACAAATGGATCTACCTGAGAGAATCGTACTAGTGGTGTGGAATGGGGGCACAGAGATATCTATCCAAAGCTTTCAGGCATCAGGTGACTCAAAACAGAACAAGGTGTCCAATCACAGCTAATTTTCCCCAGTAGCGCGTCAATCGACTGACCCCGTTAGTCTGTGCAGTCTCTATGGGCATGGGACCCAAATCATTGAACCCACACCACAGAAGAACGGACTCAGTGGGTCGCCTGGTGTCCTGTCACGACCTCTGTGAACTGGGCCAGCTGTCTGGTCCAGTAGTGGAAACCACCCAGTTTAAAGATACAGTCATTCTTCCAGGTAACAAGTGAGGTTTTAGGTACGATCAGAATCTCTGGAAACTTCTCTAAATGACCAAAGGATAGATAGACAAGATGGGTATCAGTTCCAAGAATCTGTCTAAAAGCGCTTCAATGCGTATTTGGAGCACATGCTGCACTCTCACAAGCCTCCATGTGCAGTACCAGCGTTTCAGCTCCCATTACTTACGTTAGTTTTGTTCTGTCACAAACAATAAATCCTACGGCTGAGCAATGAAGGGCAAAATAACAGAAGCCACCCAGAACTCCCTGCTGGACACATAAATCCAGCATGGAGCGTTAAAGTGTTATGTGGGGCTTTTTGTGCACTTTGTCTTCCTTTTATGGTGCTAATCCCCATCCGTCAGCCCCAGGGCACATCTGGAATGGAGTTAATTACTTTTTCTGGCTGCTCCCAGCTTTCCCACACAATCTATATATCCAGATGTACACATACACACACACACACACACACACAGTCTACACATGGAAAGGGTGTGGAGCACAAAAGGGAGGTCCTTCACGCATGTGTAGGTTTATGAAGATTTAGCTTTATGTTACAGAAGACTCACACTATGGCAGGTGTGAGCCTCATCCAGAAGGTGGAGCCATTTTGTTTAATCAAATCAAGTCAAGTCAAGTGGAGCTTGACTTGTCACACCAACCATATTCAATACACTGCATACGGCAATGCGAAATAACGTTCCCCATGCCTGTGGGGTTACATATATATACATATATATGCAGTGGTAGACTGGACAAGCTAAAAAAAAAATCAATGACAACATTAATACACAATGTAGAAGTAAACAGTGATTAAAGTATGAATGTTTAGAATGTTTAGAGCATGCAATGATAGAAGAGTACATAAGTTTTATGCAGGAGTAAAATGGTGAATGAGTAAATAGATAAATAATAATAAATAAGAGGTATCGGTGATGTAAATTCACCGGCACAGATGATCGATGGATGCAAAACGCTTGATGTTTTGGCTTGTTCTGGCTTGCCAGGTAAAGTCAGCGTCCTTGACACGATGGGCTCGGTGGTCCGTGTTGCCGTGGAGACATCAGAGGCCCAGATCGAAGTGGAATTGGTGCCGACGGTGGAGCTGATGCACTCCTGGCCCAAGAAGGCTCGCTGGCCCCGGCTGCTCAAGCGATGGCCTCCAGCGGATCGTGTCCGCTGCATCAAGGTGAGGAAACCAGAAAAGCTGTCACATGACCAGGGATCAGGAAGGTCTGTCGCAAGGTAAGAGACAAGGCATGATCACCAGATGGTGAGAGAGTGAGAGCCAGTCTTCAAAGCAAGCCTGTTTTTCCTCTGTAGATTTTCTTTACAGTGTATTGGTTTTCATTAATAAAATCTCTCATGCGGTCGGTGGTTAGCACCTGTGGGAACAGGGTTTAAGTCTCCACCAGGGTTCTGTGTATAGAGTTTCATGTTCTCCCGGTGTTGCTGTGGGGTTTCTTCTGGGTACTCACAGATTCCCCCACAGTCCAGAAACATGCTGAGATTAATTGGAGTTACCTAATTATCGGTGTGTGTGTGTGTGTGTGTGTGTGTTTTTGTATGAGAATGCAATGGGTTGGTGCCCCATCCTGGTTTGTTCCCTGCATTGCACCCATAGGCTCCGGACCCCCCGCGACCCTGAATAGGACAAGCGGTGGCAGAAAATGGATGGATGGATGGATGGATGGATGCAAATCTCTCATGATGTGATTGAAGTCATCATTTAGATAATTAATCATCTCATTTTGTTATTCACTAATTGAGGGAATGTGAACCCTTAAGCTATTACACAGTGATATCAAAATAAACACATTCTCCTGAACCACTATATGATATGATAACCCAATGGAACTGAATCGATCTTTCCCCCTGACAGTCCTTTGGATTCAATCTGCTGGCTACGTCCAACTACCACTGGCTGCTGTCCTTCTCACGGGCAGAGCAGGTGCTGCTAGGAAGCATCGACGAGGATGGGGGTTGCCGAAGGAAGTGCTACCGGATTGTCCGGCAGCTGAAGGAGGATGTCTGGTGTCCCGGCAACAAACCTACCATCACAGCCTACCATCTACAGGTACCAGTCACTCTGCTCTTCTTCACAATCCAGTGCTCGTGTCAAAAAACACTCAAACCCACCATCACAACAGCCCAACCATGTTCTCACCTGATCTTGAGCACCAACAGAACTCTCTTCTTTGAAACCATTCATTTACTTTTGACTTCATGTCATGTCAAATTTTTTCATTCAAGTTTTGACATCATTGCTAATGTGGTTGTGATTGTGTAGAAGTCTGATGGAGTTCATCTTTGGGTCTGTTACCTGTCAGCACAGTGGTTGTTTGGTCTTACTGTTGATCTCATTCCCCTCACCTCCATTCCCCCACCCTCCACCACACTCTGCCAGAACCTGCTTTTCTGGACCTGTGAGAAATACCCCAATTCCAAGCACTGGAAGAACCTGAAGGAGAGCGTCCTGAGGCTGGTCAGGAAGCTCCACAAGTGTGCTAGCCAGCGCTACCTCAAGCACTACTTTGTGGGCTCCTATAACCTGCTCAAATACACTAACACCAATGATCTGGATGACATGGCCAGCAAGATCTCCACGTTCCTGGACAACCCAGCTGCCTACATCCACTAACACCATGACTTTTAACACAAAATTGGAACACCTGCACTCAACATTCATTACTTCTGTTATATTTGTGGCATGTATGCTGAGAAGTAGACCAGTCCTGACTGCATTAGATATTTATTGTTGGACCAAAGGGTGTCATATGTTCTTGAAATCTGAAATGGCAGTTTCTTAGCTGTTTTAGACGCTGTAATAACCCACTCATCAAATAAATTGGATTAATGTTGTCTTTTCTGATACACATTATGTTTCCTGTCTGGAATAATGTGCCGTCCAAAGCAAGAGGAACATAAATTTTTATTATCCTTAGAGGTCATTCGCACTATCCTGCTCTCAAAGAAGCCGTGCTGGAAGACTTTCAGTTGAACAGTGATATTTTTATAACATCCATTTTTATTACAATGCTGGCAATATCACACAACAACCTGACTGACTCTAGAACTGTATCCACACAATGAATTATGAATACAATATCTTACATCCCATCCAGGGTTGTGTTCCATTCTGCCTAGTTCGGGACCCAGCACTACCTCCCCCGCCCCCGCCCACATTCCACTGATGAGGATGAGCAGATCAGCTCTCATTAGGTGCGGAGGGCATATAAATTATATACAAATACAAATCATTGGTAATGTACAGTTATCATGTATCATCTACATGTACAGTTATCTACTAAAGCCATACATCGTCTTAGAAGGAATTTTACATTTTTTCAGCATTTGAAGATATGAGTTTGTGAAAAAAAAAGAGCTGATCACGTTTATGTTGACCTGATGAGCAGTTTGAAGATGGATGGATGGATGGATGGATGACGGACGGACAGACGGACATCTATATTGAGGTTTGCTTGCTGGGCACACCAATGTTAGCTGTCCAATTAGACCACTAGATGGCACTTGTCACAAAGCAATCATCCTGTCTACTCGACGTCACCTCTCATTTAATGATCTGCCAATATATCCACAAAAAATATAGGGACACCAGCGAGAGGATTTCTACATTTAACATAAGTCAGTGGGTGGGGGCGCTATTAAAGTTATAGTCCACCCACGACTAAATCCATGTTCTAGTCATACTCATTGGTAAAATAAGATGGATCTTTCTCAGTCCCCGGTGAGAATTTTTTCTTGGCAGCAGCATAACAAATATATTTTCCAACACAACTTTCTATCCCAAAGAACTTAAATAAATAACATCCATCCATCACCTAAACACTCATCCTGGGCAGGATCTTAGGGGAGGCCAGGCATACAGGGCGCAAGACTGGGGTGCTAGTCTATTACCGAGCACATGCACAGAGATTAAGGACAATTTACAGGTTTTTTTTAGCTTAGCTACATGCCTTTGGGCCCACATGGCACAGGGAGAACATGGAAACACCACAGACTTGGAGAGATGGCCGGGTTCCACCTGTCAGCCCTAGGGGCATGCCACAGATGGCATTGGTGGAAACATTGAGGTCTGTCACTAAAAAATAGATCATTTAAAGAAGGATTCGCAGAGCAGTCATCTAGATGGTAGTTTTCAAAAAAGTATAAATAAATCAACAGAAACATTTTGCGTGTGTGTTAGAGACATAAAGAGAGAGTGAGAGAAAGACGAGAGGTAACATACGAGGGGTATTAACCCAGTCTATAGGCATTAATGGGGGCCTGATAAGCAAAGGATTCTGGGAGTATAAGCAAAAAAGAGAGAAATGGAGCGGACCTGAAAGGCAGCATGTCGCAAAGAGCTGAAGGGAAGGAGAATGAGACAAAGGAGCGGACAAGACAGCATCTATTTACCAAGCGAGGCCGGTCACAGAATGGTGCTTTCATTCCTATTCTATTCAGGCTTCCTTTTCCCAGAAGTGGGATCATTTACACTATATCGTTCCGGCACTGAATCTATGTACAGCATTAAATCCCGCTGGGAACTGCAGACATTTACTTTTGAGTATTGAATGTATAAATGTTTAGTTTGGGAAAATATGTAGCGCATACATGTTATTAAGGTCTAGGATTTATAAGCTTAATATCCCGCTGCTTTTTCCACAGTATCTCCTCAGGCCAGGCAGTGAGCCAGATCGAGAGGCAGTCACTTCCCCTACGGTTTCAGAAAAAGAGGAACAAAAGTAAATTATAGCTTAGCGTTTGTTGTGCCCTGACGTCATGCGTATTCCCAGTGTCACCAAATAAAAGGACTGTAGAAGGTCAACCAAAAAATGCCCTTAATCTGCCTACTAGAGAGAGGCATTGTGGGTGTGGGCCAGGTTAGAGTCATTGCACATACCCACCGTGGTTAGCAGCAGGAGTGGTGAATAGGTGCAGTCCTCTAACTGTAGATGTGTCTATATTAGGATCTGGTTCTTTGGAGCCACACAGCAACTGCAGCAGGGTTGAAAGCCCCCCCTAATTTATTTTTCTGAATATATTTAATGCGCCCTTCCCAGCTCGCATGCCAGGATGCATGTTTCACTTCTTTTCACAGGCTTTGGTGTGTCGGTGCTCGATCAGTAGGGTTTTTTGTGGATTTCCAAGGCCTGTGTACTGTAAGAATCTTGTTCATCGCTCCAATGCCTTCGCTCATGTAGCACGACAAAGGGCGCGAAACCAGACACCTTAAAATGCAGCTGCACTTCGTGATCCGCTAAACGAAATGAAACAGCTGGCTCTTCAGGTAGCGTGCCGACGCTAAGCGCATCGCTGTCCGTTATATATCCGTATTTACGGGTCGAGCACCTGCCCCCCGAAAAGCCTCTGCATGGCCCTGTTCCTCCTGTGAATTTTTCTCCACCCTCCCTTGGTCCTTGGGGGAGAGAGCTATTACCCACTTTTAAGTAATTGTGGTAATAAGAGCCTAGCGAAGTGGTAATGTAGGGGCAAAAACCTGCTCGTAATGGGATCGATTTTCATCGGTTCATGTCCAGCTCTCGCAGTATGAGCGTCAAACACTATTAGCCTTGTTTCCTGGAGGTTAAAGTCAGAGAATATGAAAGGAAGAAGCTGTGTCATCTAATGTACTAATGCTCTGATAGACTCTAAAAGGTGCCCCCCCCCCCTGCTCTCCCCATCCGTCATGCTGTTGTGGATCCCCTCTAGGTCCCTCTTAGGCAGTTGAGCAACTCCTCTCCAGATTCAAAGCCTGTGACCACCCCCTACACACACACACACTTCACCCCCTGTGTCCGTGGAAACTGCCGACCTCGGGGGTCACAGTCATTTATGGCGGACAGGAAGCTGTCCCAAGGAGCATCCAGACGAAACGGAGGGAGAGGGCAGAGCGACGGGGAGCACAGCCATGGACGGGAAATCGCCCAGAGAGGCGCTATATATGGGGGACTGTGGCTTTAAATAAGACCCAACTCCGGGTGGAAAACAGGGAGGGAAAGGATGGAGACAAAGCGGAGTAAACTACACACATAGTCATTAAGAAGGAGCCAGCAGGCATCCCGGGAGGACACTGACACATAAATTATTTACTATTATCCAGAACCCACCAAACAATAAAACCCGGGAAAAGCAGAATTATTTGCCTTTCTAGCAACACAATGGGACTCAAGAAATATGTTTGTGAGCCCCTGGTTTTGTCTTACAGATGCTTCCCACCAGCTGCAGATGTGTGGAATCTGCGGGAGTCATGGGGGGGGGGGGGGGGTACAGCTGACATTATTATTATTATTTTAAATTTTAACCATGAGGGATACTTGCGCGCACTCTTCTTACTCTTTACGTCATAAAGGTTTATTGTCATTAAAAACAGATAAAGCTTTGACCGCATAATGTCTGATTCTGAAAAAAGTTTGTGACAGAATTCCTCACCTTCACCCTCCATCGACGTCGACGTTCGTGCCTGATTCTGGCCCTGTGTCCTTTTGTCTCTATGTCACTTCTTTGTTTTATATTCTTACTGGTGTGAAATTCTTACACTCGTGCTGATTCCGTCTTAAACATCCCGAGTGGTGGAATTGCGAATAGGTAGCAACAAACCCAGTGACACCCTGGGATCTCTGGCATTGATTTTTTTAGCCGTGGGGGGGGCATACATTGTGCAGATTGTTAAAAAAAGAGATGTGGAGATGCTGGCTTAAGGGGCCGATAACAGCACACAGGCTCGGCTAATAATAGCCACGCGGCTCATGTGCACGACAAGGCGCCGCGCCGCATGCGAACGTCAGGCCGCCATCCGAATCACCATCTCTTATAGCCGCCGCAAGATATTTCCAGCACATCTTATTATCTCTGTTTCCCAACCCACCCCCCTCCCCCCATGCCCATCGTCTGCCGCACCCCCGATTGGCTCAGGTCTTCACGGGACGCCAAGTGACATCTGTGTGCACTGCAGGAAATCAGGGGGATTCGGTGTGACTGTTTTAGTAGCTATCCATAATCTCTATGTCAGGGACAATGATTCCATTACGGACCGACTCTGGCCACACTGGGGTAGCGGCAGAATATTAACCCCGTGTTTGCCAGTACTTGGCTTTCCTCCTAGCCTTCAGCCTTCTATAATGATATTATATCCTATTATGTTTATTAACATAATATGCATATTTTCATTCAGGAATCTCTTGAAGATTTCACAGATACATTACAGACTTAACGCCATACTTTGTATGCTTTAAATCCATTACAGGGCTTGGGGGGGGGGGGGTTGTGGGGGTGCTGGAGACATGACTCACAATGTAGGACACCCTGAATGGAATTCCTGTCCATCACAGGAATATCCATCTTTTTTATGCATACTGCAGCAAGCAAGAAAAGCACCGAGAAACATTTATTCAGTGCAAAAGATAAGATGCAAAACAGTACGCATGGTGCAAACCCAGTACACAAATGCAATCCTGTGAAACAAGATACTATAAAGTATTGAAGAAATTAAATCTTTCTTACATTGTTCATTTGGTCTGAAAATCCATTATTCTGTAGGCGTTAGCAGTTTAGACATAACTGGTCATTTAATTAAATATTCCATCCACTTTCCATAAGCGCTTGTCTTATGCAGGGTCGCGGGGGTGCAGAGAAGCTGCCGACACAAGGCCATGAGTAACCCCGGATGGGGCACCAACCCCCACACACTCACGCACCATTCATTTAATTAGATATTTATTAAAGTAATTGAAATATTCATGAGGTAAGCAAAGTAAAGAAAAAAAACAAAAAAAAATGATTGAGCATGTATACATAGCACATGCCATCAGTAAAACCATTATAATAATTACTAATAGTCTCATATTAGGTTTGTTAATACCTTTGGTGATTGTCTTGGTAACGCTTATGAACCGGCAAGTATTTATGGGGGGGGGGGCAATATTATTTCTGACAAAGGAAAACAAATGGAGTGAATGAAAGGAAATGATTTCCACTGTCATTTAAAAAATCATGAAGACCAACCAACCCAAATATGTATACATTAATGGCTTCCCTCTGAAGGCGCATTCCTTATGGATTCAGGGGCTTACAGGAAGTGACATCACACAATGTCTGCCTTTTCAGGTTGGTAATAATGGCAGCCTGACTGCATTAATGCCCCTTAGCCACTGCCTCACTCCATTAATGTTGAAAGTGCTTCTGGGTCCCACCCAAACAGGCAGAAAAATGAAAGATTTAAGACATGAAGCACTAAAACAATAAATGAACAATCATCATCGTCAAAGGAACCAGAACTTTTGGCTGGGCAGCCCCCCCTTAGTATAATTGCAATTTTCCAAAGTCGGACAAACTCCAGATGGACGCCTTGGGCAGAGTTCGCCGTTTCGTGACTGCAGGGGCGGGGCCACTAAAACCACCACGAGTGACAGAGAGACGAGATAGCGACTGATGGGCGAAGGAATGTTTTTTCACAGTAACACGATGACAAATGTTGCACTAGTTAACAAAACTCACCAAATTTTAAGCATTATGCAGTTTCAAGTGCAACTGCAATGCGAATAACCAAGTGCTCTATGATTCTCCCGACACTTCAGGTATTAAAATACCAGAGTTTTAACATGACAGTGGTGTGTACCTGTATCTGCCTGTGTATGACAGTGCGGGGGCTATGCAGCATACTAGGTTTATTTTTTAACTTTGGCTGCTCACAGGTTTTTTCCTCTTTTTCTTTGAGCTTGGGGTGTCTCATTTACTTTGTTTTTACTCACTTTTAGCAGCCTTCCAGCAGCCTGTGTTCATTTCCAAACGAGCCAAACAAGCTCTTTATCTGCTGCAAGATCCCGAGAAACTTGCAAAGACATGCATGTAGACTGAGGATGTTGATCTGTTCCTCCTAGGAGGGAGACTCCAGTCGACTTCTCACTCCAAAAAGCCCCCCAGAATCTCCTTTCTCACTAGTCGCTTTTGAGTTTTTTTTTCGACCCGCATCCTGAATTGTGATTAAAAATGCTTTTCAGCTTCCCCCACTTACTTTGGAAGCAATCTAACAGTGGGCCCTGTGAATTTTTGGCTTTCCTCTTTAAACCCGGGCCTTTGGCTCTCGTTGGAGGTTGCCTAGCAACAGCAAATGGTTCTAGGAGAGCGGCCTTGCTGCTGATAGCTCTCTCTCTCTCTTTCTCTCTCTCTCTTTCTCTCTCTCTCTCTTTCTCTCACTCTCTCCACCACTCTCACTCTAGAAGTTCACCACTCCATCGCGCCAAAACGCCGCTGAGCCGGGAGTCACACCAAGCCTGCTAGCACAGCGCCCCACCATCTGGGAGCGCGTAATCCCGACAAACCCCATCTATTCACCTTGAAACGAGCACGGACTCATGCTTACACACACACACAGATTTAAACACTTCGGGCACACACACATACGCACGCCACTCATGCCTGTTAGCATATCTCCCCGCTACTGGGAACCCGTATGTTGACACATTTTCTTATTTTCGTCAGAGAAGTGGGAAACGGCGGCAGGGAGAGACACACCTCGACCCTGTGGTAGCTTCCAGTGCTGCCTCAGATAAGGCATTAATGAGATAAAAAAAAATGGGAGAGAAAGCATGCCCCTGGTATCTTTAGCAACCATAAGCTGACACGTTCTCTGTACACATACAGTGCCTATGTCCCTATTCTGCAATCACAGGTCATTCTTCAAAATTAAAATTTATTTGGTATAGGTTGTGAGTATCCAGTGCCAGAGTCAGAAAAAATGTGATAGAGGGTCATGCGGGGGAAGGAGGGGGGGTATTGGGTAAGCAGATGATCTGTAGTCACGCCCCTGGAAGAGACTGACTTTATTTGTTTTAGGATAAACACCTTTATTAAAACATAAAATTAAAAAGAACACAGTGTCCTTGGTAGGTCACATCCTGGGGGGGCACAATGGTAACACCATATTCATCCCCACCTTTACACTGTAGCTTCACTATCAAAATGTGACCTGCGTCTGTTTGTTCCACAATTTAGGCTGAAGAAAATGTGCATGTCTGTAAAAGCTCAACTGGCGTCGCCAGGAAGCAGGAAATCAAAACCAAACAGCCGGTCGCTGTGGCGCCAGCGAAGATGGAGAATGAGGTTGACATGAGGTTAGGATTCCTCACCCTGAACTGGCAGGTTAGGACAAGGTGATGTTCACCGATGCCCCCGCTGGGAGACTGACGCGTGGCTGAAATGGGACCTGGCCTTGCACGTTTCCTCTGCTCTGAAAACAGCCCTTGGCTTCCACAGGAGCCATGAATAAATTTAATTTTAGAAAGCATTTCAGGCTTGTTCAATAGTTCTGACAGTCTGGAACACTTACATAACAGAAGGTACTGTGCATTAGAATAAAGTGGCCAATTAAGTGGGAATTAATTATATCCAGAAATTAAAAGTTCCATGATCTCTTCCAAATACTTTTTATACTTAAATCAAAATCATACAATGTTAGATTTATCTATGATGTTAGAAAACATGCATACATTTCATGAAAATCTCTGGGAGCAGTGCTGCAGTTTGAGAGCTGATTTCAGTGAGTGTCTCTGTCTGGCTGTAGACTTTGCCTTGTCTTCCTGTGACCTTGTTTCCATGGGGACAGAGGTCAGTGACTGTGTCCTGTGGATTTCCAGAGGCACTTGTCAGCTGTACTCTGAGGGGAGCAGACTCTACAGATACTTGTGGCTAAAATAATTATAAAACACATTTATATTCATATGTATTTATTTAGCAGTCACCTTTATTCAAAGCCAGTACGTAAGTACTGTACTGAATAATATACCAACCCAAATGTTCGCCAACACAAAATCCCTTGAGTGCATTAAAAGCTGTGCATCGTTGTTTAATGTGCAAAGTACTAAAAATACAAGGCTTCACTGTATAGTATTACCACCCACCACATGGTAATCATAAAGTAGAATAAGAAAGCATGCCTGTTTACGTAACGAAAATTTTGCAAAGGCTATTATTAGGCTTCATCCATAGGCACAAGCAGACAGAGTTCAGAAGAGGATCATGCTAATTTTGATGAAAGGCCTTCAGTTGTGCTGGAATATAAATGCAGAGAGCAGCTGTTGAAAAGAACATGAATTAATGAATCCATCCACCCATCCATTCATCCGTACTCCAACCATTAATCCCATACAGGGGCACAAAGGGGTTCAGAACCTATGCCAGGCAGCAGAAGACATAAGGAAGATGTACTTCCTGGCACTGGCACACTAGATATTTTGGGCCCCATGGATGCGACATGAGAACATAAGAAATATACGAATGAGAGGGGGCCGTATGGCCCATAAAGCTTGTTTGGGGAGAATTCAACTAATAGCTAACTAATTGCCCCCTAATCCAGGCCAATCCAATTATGTTCCAAATTTTTTAGGGCCCCGGTCACTCAAGGGGCCCTTGGAATCGTCCTACCTACCACCTCCCCGGCATTTCGGTGCCCCTGCATCTTGAATAGGGTTCCAGCCCATCGCAAGGCACACAAACACTACAGGAACTTTAGGAAGATCATCCACACATCTGCAAACAGCTTCTTCTGGTCAGGGTCACAGGTTGTAAAAACATCAGTTAGCCAGGCAGGATTCAAACCCTTAACTCAACAGGACCAC